CTGTTTAAAACGAACATTTTCATAGCTTTTATTCGCTTTCTTCTTCTCTCCCACTTCTATTTTTTCACCATCAGACTAAAATCTGAATAAAAATAAAGTAACAATGCTGAGTAAACATCGCTTTATACTTCCTAAAAAATATTGCAAATACCCGCCTCAAAACACGTATACACACAAACACAAATATATTCAATAGATTTCCTACAAACCAAAAAAATTTAATACCTGAGCATGCGAACAACAATAGCATTAGCTCAAGTAAACTGATTATGCTTAATCACAATAATTTTGTTGTTAATGTAATCGATCATTCATTGTCTTTACCAAAAAAAATCTATTTCACTTAACTTTTTCTTGAAAAAAGAAAAACAAAGTAGAACTGATTGTAAGAAATTCTTAAGTGTAAAAATATGCTTCATTATCTGCTAAACTAAGCACCTTTTTGCATTTGTAAGTTATCCAACAATTTACGGAGGTCACAATCTACGTACCTACAACTCAGTGAAAGAACTTTTCATCCTAAAACAAAATTTTATTTTTATGCTCACTGTGTCAAACAAATAAAGGAGGAATTGAAGCCTTTTTATGACTGTCCATCTAAATTAATCTGAACGCGGATAGCCAGAAACCACCACTCAAACCTGACCATGTTTCAAAGCTACCAATAATATTTGAATGCAAACTCTTTTCTCTCTCTGATGTGTCTTTATATTTCAGAATCACAAAAGCAAGAACAAATATTATGATAAAGTTAAAATATTCGGAAAAATTAGCTTGCAAAGACATCCTTACAGTAAAATAGCTTCATTCTAAAAAATTACAAATACTATTTAGCTACAGTCTTGAAGCTGACTTTAATGTAACTGTAAACGACAAAGCAAAAACACTCTTTTCACAATCTTTGAACTTTCACTGAAAAAAATTTACAAAAAACGGAAATCAGACAATTTATTGCTGTATTCAGCAGTGCAAAAAGTTTAGTTACAGCAAGTAAAAACAAGCAGAAAAAAAAAACAGAAAGAAACAGCTTGAACTATATTCTTCTCTTAGTAACCAATACTGTCAGTGAAAGGTACCTCAGTATCCTGATTTCATAAAATAAGTCCTACCGGCCTTTTTTGTTTCTCTCTTTTTTTTTTTTTTTTTTTTT